GGACGAAGCGAACGAGATCAAGCGAGTTTTGCTCAAATGGTGTGATACCGAAAACGTCCACGTAATACTTACTACAGGGGGTACAGGTTTTTCTCCAAGAGATATCACACCAGAAGTGACTTCAGAAGTCATTGAAAGGCCTGCTCAAGGTCTCACTCTACAAATGCTGAGTGAATCCTTGAAGGTGACGCCCATGGCCATGCTTTCCCGAGCAGTTTGTGGAATAAGAAAAGGAAGCATCATTATAAACTTGCCAGGAAGTCTTAAGGGATCTCAAGAGTGTTTCCAGTTTGTTTTGCCCGCTTTGCCTCATGCTATTGAAGTGTTACGTGGCAGCCCAAATGTGGGTGTCACCCATGCCTCCATGGAACATCCCGCCCATCCTCAGAGGGGTGACACCCATCACAACTGCTCACACAAGACTCAAGGCAAGACTGTTAGAGATCTCAGTAAAGTTGCAGAAAGAGACCGTCATTCTCCATATCCACTTGTTTCAATGAGTGATGCTCTCTCGGTGATAAAGGAGAATGCCAATTGTCTACCTAAAACAGTTGTGAGCATAGAGGATTCATTAGGCCACATACTGGCCTCTGATGTTTTTGCCCAAGAGCCCTTTCCTCCTTTTCCTGCATCTGTCAAAGATGGGTATGCTGTGCTGGCTTCTGATGGTCGTGGAGAACGTGTTGTACTTGGCCCAGTAACGGCCGGAGAAATTGCAGCTTCCCATGTCATTTCTGGTCATGTGATGCGTATCACCACAGGGGCACCAGTGCCACAGGGAGCTGATTCTGTTGTCCAAGTTGAAGACACAGAGTTACTTGAAAGTGATGATGATGGTAGAACAGAGAAAAGGATAAAAATCCTCACATGTCCAAAGCCAGGACAGGACATTAGACCCATTGGCTTTGATTTGAACAAAGGTCAACAGGTGCTGTCAGCTTATGAGAAACTAGGACCAGCAGAGTTGGGTCTGATGGCTTCATTAGGACTGACTGATATTGAAGTGTTTCAAAAACCAAAAGTTGCTGTCCTTTCCACAGGAAATGAGGTAGTAAGTCCTGGTCAAGTCACGAAAGCAGGTCAAATCAGAGACAGTAATAAGATCGCATTGAAATCAATGATAAATTCTCATGGCTTTGAGTTCATTGATTTGGGGATTGCAGCTGACACTCCTCAAGATCTGGAATCCAAACTCTCTGCTGGCCTGGAATTAGCTGATGTTGTTGTGTCCTCAGGTGGAGTATCAATGGGTGAAAAAGACTTCCTGAAACCTGTTTTAGAAGACCTCATCGGTGCCACCATCCATTTTGGAAGAGTGTTTATGAAGCCAGGCAAACCCACAACGTTTGCAACAGTCACAGTTGGTGGGAAGAAGAAGCTGATATTTTCTCTTCCTGGAAATCCTGTCTCAGCAATGGTGACATTTAACCTGTTTGTTCTCCCAGCCTTAAACAAGTTGACTGGATCCCAAAGCCCTGAGTTGACAAAAATAAAAGCAAAGTTACTACAACCAGTCTCTCTAGATGCCAGACCTGAGTACCACAGAGTTGTCTTGTCATGGAATTCAGGTGACCTGGTCCCTTCGGCAATATCCACTGGCAGTCAATGCAGTAGTAGGCTGTTGAGTATGAGAACCTCTAATGCACTCCTTGTCTTACCACCAAGGAGTGATGATCTCACTAGGATTGAGGCAGGAACGATTGTTGATGCTTTGATTATTGGTGAAGTCTAAAATATAAAGTAGTGACTGTTAAAGGTGAATTTTCTGATAAGACAGAATTCATATAAAGTAAAATTGCCACAAAAAGAGATGGTTCCTCCAGGTAATTAAACTTGTCACAAGTTGACGTAATAAGTTGCACAGCACAAAAGCCGTATTGCAAACATAGCCGTGAAGCAGCCATGTGAAGTTTGCAAAGCAAGACAAAGGACTTGTTTGAAGTTTTTTCAATTTGTCCTTCTACTCATAGTAGTAATATTATTAAGTAGTCTGTTTGAATGAATATTCTCATTTAGTGTAACTTAGTTTGTTGTGAACAATACCCACCTTGTAAAGCTCTCCCCTCCATGCTGGTAGTATACAAAGATTTACACCAATGCGTGATGGAATTTAGGAACAAAATGGCTCAGTGTGTTCATTGATGACTGGAGTGGATGAATTTTCTTATTAGAGAGAATTCACTCATCTTTCAAGTAAACCTTATCGCTTTGCCACCAAGAAGTGATGATTGTACTATAGTATTAAGGCAGAAGAATTAATTGTTGTTGCTTCAACGGTGGCTGTATTCTGATAAGATTGTATCTGGTTGGGCTGAATTTTCTGACTGGATAAGTTGTGTGAAAAAAAAAAACTGTGAAGTGAGAACCCTCCAAGGTGAACAACAGAAGTATATTGCCATTGGTTGATTACAACAGAGAATCAAATAAAGTTTTTTGGTTCAAAGGTGGATTGTGCAAACTGCCTTTTCTTTCAGCTGGGGATCATAATGTTATGGGGGGGATACTCTTGCAAATTTGAGCAACCCAAAACCGTCATCTTATGTCAAGACCTGATCTGCTGTTCTTAAGAGATGATCAGTGAAAGAAATGTTCCCAATTCAAGACCTTGGTTCTAAATATAGTGCGCACAAGCCTTTACCCAATTTCAGACCCAAATAGTTGAAGTCTATACTGTGGAACCTCGATTTTCGAGGTTAGCCTAGCCTCCTGAGGGGTTCAGATCGTGAGGACAACGTAAAGAGATGTGAGCAGAAAAAGACAGCGAGGGGGTGGGGTAGGGGGTGAGAGCGAGAGATCCTTCCTCTCTCCCTAGTCCCTCTCTTTCTCCTTATTTTTTCCCGCTCTCTTACTTCGCGCCGCACTCCACTATCCGAACGCCTGGCTATATTTTGCCCGTGCCTGTACGGCGTCTGTGGAGAGCGGTGGCACCGGAAACCCAGAGACTATTAACGCTAGTGAGCCCTTATGCCCTGAGAATTTTGGGTCAAAGCCATAAAGCCCTCACTGTACACAAATATTTTACTTTCTTTTGACGCAAATATCCTGTTTAATCGTTCTAGAATTAAGATAACTGATATATCTACATTTTGTTTACTCATTTCAAACACGATAAAGTCTATTGCTTTTCCCAGAACTGGAACAACAGTTTTAACAGTTTTTTCAAGACTGTCTTTAAGTTAACATCTACCGAATTGTTCCCACAATCAATTATGGTTAGTAAGCCACAAACTCTTAAATTCATTTTCATTGCACGAGGATATATCCTACGGCTTTGATATGCTTGTTACCATTATCTGGATAGTGGGTAGCCTGGTTTCCACAGGAGTTGGTGTCATCATGTAACCCACCAGTACCAAACCCAATTCTAGAGTCACAGGAATTGCAATGGTTTTCCTGGTTACTAATGATACCGATCCTGGCTTTGGAATGGACTCTGCCGACCATATGACTATTGAACCCTTCTTTGTTACACCCAACCTGCAGGGACGCCTCAGGACCAATCAACAATTTCCACGTGTCGCGACCCAGAGAAGTAGCGCGAAATTGTCCGTCAGCGATCAAAGAGTGTAGAGAACTGGCGCTCCTGTTGATTACAATGAAACTGATCTGCTGACCGATCTTCATGCCGAGGCAGATCTTGGAGAAGGATGTGTTCCAGTAGGAGGGCAGTTTGGTCTCCTGGGAGTCAAATCCGGTGTTCCCTCCATCGAGGTTAAAAGTTTCGTTGTTGCTCCAGAGGGAGGCATCGTAATGAAAGGTTTGCTGTGGAAGAAAAAACACAGTTCAATGGCCTTTGCCTGTGAGTATATAGCTTTGCTTAGACTGTTACAGTCCCCTATTTCATCGTGAGATTGTCGAGATATAGTAGACTGCGAGCAGTCTCTTATTTTTCTTTGCAAAGTTACTGCAAGAGAAACCCAAGCAGGCGAGCCGCGATAAACGAGGGCGAGGTCTTTTCTCGTCTGGTCCTAATCCCTACAAGGTCGTGGTTTGCAATCGCGCTGGCTGTGAACTAGACGGATTTTAAGAGAAAAGGCGGACTGCAAGCAGTCCAAGATATAGCGCGTCTTACCTTTAATGGCGGCCATGATGATTTTCAAATGTACCGAGGGGGCGGGCATCGGGGATTATATCTGCACGGGGAAGGCGATGAGAAAAATATTTTTCCCTCTTCCTTCCCAACCGCTCCCGCCCCCTAAGTAGTTTTGACACTCATGAAGATGGCAGCCCGTAACGCAAAGCACTTGATCTCGACGATCTTACAGAAAAATATAGGACTGTGAACAGTCTAAGCTTAGCTAAATTGTAAGCATTCGTTTCTTAGCCTGAGAAAACAGCCGACATTTCACGACCTCATTACTGCGGGTTTCCCAGCGAAATGATGTCTGAGAAAAGCGTAGAAATTCCACTGCTGATGACGCGTCACTACCCAGATCTCGATAGTCCCTCTGATTGGCTGAAGCAAATCTGCCATGTAGCAGGACCAATCAAAAGCATTACCCAGATCTTGACAGAAACTAGTGATAAGTCATCAGTATGGCCATTAGTTTGCAATACCATAGTCCCCCTCTACTCGCTCAAAGCAATTCTAAAACCCCAACGACGAGGTGTTTAGTCGACCTAAATGCACGCTGGAATCAACTTAGCCAGGGCCATATTATAAGGCGACACAACCGTAGAACAAGTTTGAACATTAAATAAAATGTTGCCAAATAAAATTTCACACCTTGCTACCGTTCATCTTAATGACCGGTGTCCATCCTCCATCTCCACATCCAAAATCTCCCATTTGACAAAGAATTTGAGTAGGTTTTGAATCAAAGATGACTGTTACTACCTGGCTTTGGTTCAACCTACACACAGAGACAGTTTTTGTATAGAAAATCATGCGCCATTAATGACACGTGAACACTAGTGATCCCTTACTCCAACTGGGCCCAACATTTAAAACTTCGTCCCCTTCAAACCCTCCAAGCTACATCGTCCGAAGGCAATTGAACCTTAGTATTCCTAAAGTTAGACAAAAAATCTGAGATGACAATTTTGCCCAAATGACCCATTATGATAAATGAATCAACTGAGCCTCACCTCAAATCAGGCTCTACTTTTGTTTTGCTTGGTAAATAATATTCCGAGGGGCGAGGCAAAAGGAAAAGAGCCCGATCATTGCTCGACCATGCAAGAGAAAATGTATGAAAGCTGCTAAAATTGGGCCTGATCTCTAGGTAAATGAGCCTAGCGCTTTGAGAAGTTACATGATCCAATAGTACTCATTACTGTGCTTATGAAATATAACATGTCGGTTGGAACTGTATGTAATATACAACTCTTTTACAGCCTCCTTCTCAGGCTCTCAGCGGCGAATCCATGGGCCTGGGAATGAGTTTGCCATGTCCTCCCCCCATAACCCATAGTTAATGTACTCATATTCGTAGAGGGAATCTTCCTGTTTGTAAGCATTTGTCGTGAATGATAAGTAGATGTTGAAAAAGACGTTGATCATGTTACCTACTTTTGTGGCTCAAAATGATACAAGTCTTGACATGACTTTATAGCTGAAAAAGAAATAACAATCGGCAATATCCACTGGCAGTCAATGCAGTAGTAGGCTGTTGAGTATGAGAACCTCTAATGCACTCCTTGTCTTACCACCAAGGAGTGATGATCTCACTAGGATTGAGGCAGGAACGATTGTTGATGCTTTAATTATAGGTGAAGTCTAAAATATAAAGTAGTGACTGTTAAAGGTGAATTTTCTGATAAGACAGAATTCATATAAAGTAAAATTGCCACAGAAAGAGATGGTTCCTCCATATAATTAAACTTGTCACAAGTTGATGTCATGAGTTTCACAGCACAAAAGCTGTATTAGCAAACAGAGCCGTGAAGCAGCCATGTGAAGTTTGCAAAGCAAGACAAAGGTTTTTTTTTAAAGTTTTTTTTAGGTTTTCCTTCTACTTATAGTAGTAATATTAAGTAGTCTGTTTGAATATTCTCATTTAGTGTAACTTAGTTTGTTGTGAACAATACCCACCTTGTGAAAGGTTTGAACCCAGGAGTCATTTCAAAAGTAGGTTGAGTTTGATCGTCAAGCTCTCCCCTCCATGCTGGTGGTATACAAAAATTTATACCAATGCGTGATGGAATTTATGTACAAAGTGACTCAATGAGAATGCCAAAATGGCTCAGTGTGTTCATTGATGACTGGAGTGGATGAATCTTCTTATTAGAGTGAATTCACTCATCTTTCAAGTAAGCCTTATTGCTTTGCCACCAAGAAGTGATGATTGAATTAATTGTTGTTGCTTCAACAGTGGGTGTATTCTGATAAGATTGTATCTGATCGGGCTGAATTTTCTGACTGGATAAGTTGTGTGAACAACAGAAGTATGTTGCCATTGGTTGATTACAACAGAGAATCAAATAAAGTTTTTTGGTTCAAAGGTGGATTGTGCAAACTGCCTTTTCTTTCAGCTGGGGATCATAATGTTATGGGGGGGGATACTCTTGCAAATTTGAGCAACCCAAAACCGTCATCTTATGTCAAGACCTGATCTGCTGTTCTTAAAAGATGATCAGTGAAAGAAATGTCCTCAATTCAAGACCTTGGTTCTAAATATAGTGCGCACAAGCCTTTACCCAATTTCAGACCCAAATAGTTGAAGTCTATACTGTGGAAGCTCGATTTTCGAGGTTAGCCTAGCCTCCTGAGGGGTTCAGATCGTGAGGACAACGCAAAGAGATGTGAGCAGAAAAAGACAGCGAGGGGGTAGGGTAGGGGGGTGAGAGCGAGAGATCCTTCCTCTCTCCCTAGTCCCTCTCTTTCTCCTTATTTTTTCCCGCTCTCTTACTTCGCGCCGCACTCCACTATCCGAACGCCTGGCTATATTTTGCCCGTGCCCGTACGGCGTCTTCCCAGGCCTTCTCGGTCAATGCATTTCATAGCCCACTCGGAATAATGAGGCCTAGGGACTTCCACCGCGGTCAAACGTCTGAGCATGCGCGAAGATTTGCTTGGTGATCGCTACATTCGATTTGGAAAATCTATACGCATGTGGCTACGTCTTCTTGCGGGCAAGAACAGAGAAATTTTCTTTGTATTTC